GGTTAAACACAGCCATCAGGTGTGCACACACACTGCTGCAAAACTGTAGACACACCAATCAGCTGTAACCCCAATAAAAAAACAATAGGTATAAACCATTAGTCTTCGATAAACATGTTTACAGTAGTATAGCTATAAATAGTAGTCTTCAATAAATATGTTTTACAGGAGCTATAAATATTAATCTCTTAATAAATAAGCCAATATTGCAGTATGAAAGAGGAAGCACGAAAGTAAGGAAGATTGGTAAAGACAGGGGATGGATTTTTTATTTTTACAATGAAATGTATACATCACCAGAAAGCTGAATAAATAAGCTTTACATTGTTGTATGGTTTGTTAGGATAGGGCAGTAATTAGCTATCAGTTTATCATTGATTGGTAAATACAGTATGTTCATGTATTTGATAGCAATTCCTCTCAAGCCCTGATTATAGTCAGTTAAAATGATACAAGTGTTTAAGATGGATTAAAGCAGTGTCTAAATGAAGCAAACAGATTTATATTGAATGAGGCGTGTGTGCTGTATGGTGTTAAAATTGTGTTTTGTTATAGTGTTGTAAAGTTTTGGATGTGTTTCATTTAGTAAAGGTTCTGATGTGTTCTGCTGTTTGTGTATGTGTATGTGGAAATTGTGTGTGGTGTTTTGACATAATGAGCCTTAATTTCAAAATTGCACTTAAGCATTCAGAAAAACTGTAACAGCTCATGGGTTCATGTTGGTTACATTTAGCTTAAACTTAAATGTTAATTAATACATTATTTATCAACATGTAACAAGTAAATAAGATTGTTATTATTCACACAGGATCTCTTGTGACTCGTGTTGTAGTAAAGTTAGCTCATGATTAGCGCGCGCCTTAACTCATCATTAATTCATAATAATGTTTAATTTACATATTAATATGTCATTCATGTACTTATTAGAAAGTATTACCAATAAATCTGTATTGGTTCTTGAAAGTGACATAAATTACTAAATAAGTAATTAATAAAACTCAAAAAAACAGTATTGCAACATTGTGTATATTAATCAAATTATTAGCATTGTATTGGACTTTTCCACACATTCAAGCATTAAATTTGCATGAAAGTTCTAAAAGCAACTCATGCTAACACATTCCCAGCTAACAGGGAACATTCCCAGAATATTTCCTAAAAGTTGCGTAAATGTTAGCATGTAACTTTATAAAAAAATTACATTTCTGAAACATTCTTATAACGTTGATAGAAAAACATTTTCAAAATAAAGTACTTTGGAACGTCTTTAGGATAATAGTTATTATTAATAAACTTTCTCATAATGTTGATTAAAAATGTGCTAACATTAATATAATGTATATGTTAACATTACTACACTGTAAAACCTAACAGTCAACTTTATCAAATGGAATGAGTATACTTAACTGAAAATCTACTCATTTGAAAAGAGTTTTGAACTCAGTGTTAAAGGTAATGGGTTAATTAAATGCCTCATTACTTGAACTTAAATGGGTAAGTTCACAGTACTCAGATATATTAGTTTTTGTTTAACTAAAATGGTTTGTTTCAATCGGTTTCCTCAAACTGTTTGAGTTGCCTTAACTTTTTGGGTTTTACAGTGTGTGGATGACATTGAAACAATCTTTAACCAAAAGTCAATGTTTATTAATCATCTAAAAAATGGACGTTTTGAATGTTAAAAGAACAAATAATTAATAATGTTGTATAACTTAATAGCAACGCAGTGGCGCAGTAGGTAGTGCTGTCTCCTCACAGCAAGAAAGTTGCTGGTTCGAGCCTTGGCTTGGTCAGTTGGCATTTCTGTGTGGAGTTTGCATGTTCTCCCTGCGTTTGCGTGGGTTTCCTCTGGGTACTTCGGTTTCCCCCACAGTCCAAAGTTATGTGGTACAGGTGAATTGGGTAGCCTAAATTGTTCGTAGTGTATGAGTGTGAGTGAGTGTGTATGGATGTTTCTCAGAGATGGGTTGCGGCTGGAAGGGAATCCGCTGCGTAAAACATGTGCTGGATAAGTTGGCGGTTCATTCCGCTGTAGATACCCTGGTTTAATGAAGGGACTGAGTGGAAATAAATTGAATCAATGAATATAACTTAATGGAATAATTCAAATTAAAATCATTAGTAAGATCATCACCTTATTTATGATTAGATTATTGATTACTCAGTTTATTCATCCAAAAAAGCCATCTCATTCATTCATTCATTCATTTTCTTTTTGGCTTAGTCTCTTCATTAATCAGGGGTCGCCACAGTGGAATGAACCGAGAACTTGTCCAGCATATGTTTTACACAGAGGATGCCCTTCCAGCTGCAACACAACACTGGGAAACACCCATACACTCTTGCATTCACACACATTCAATATGGCTTATTCAATTCACTATACCACATGTCTTTGGACTGTGGGGGAAACCGGAGCACCCAGAGGAAACCCACGCAAACACAGGGAGAACATGCAAATTCTACACAGAAATGCCAACTGACCCAGCCAGGGCTCAAACCAGCGACCTTCTTGCTGTGAGGCGATCATGCTAACCACTGTGACACCCTAAAAAACTCCATCTGTATTTGCGATTGTTTTCTGGCATGCATTATGTATTGTAAATGTTCTCAGTAGTGCCTATAAATCTTGCCTTTATTTGTGTCACTGCAGCTTGGCACCATGGTGAAAACCCTTTATCTCCCTCTGCTCCTCATTAGATTGGAAATAAGTTATGTTTTGGGCACATTAGGTGACAAATAGTGCTTTGGCTGGGACTGCATTTAGAGTGGGTGAATGTAATCTTTGTCTTCAATCACTGAGAGAGTAACACTGTTAGAAGGGAGGTGAGGAGCTGTGTGAGAGTAACTGCACAGCTCTCGTCCGCATTGCAGACCCTCCTCTGCATTGAGGCAGGCTCTGTGCTAGGCTTTGATGGACTTAGTTAACACACACACTCACATTCGCTCACCCACCCGCCACCAAAACCTCCTGCAAACATAGCGCTGTCTGTAAAGTTTTTGTTGCTTGAAGCTTGGTTCGGCAAAATGAGAGTTGATGAGCCCTGCAGCGTTGAAATAAACATGGTTTTTGATGTGAGGAAATATAAAGCATTTCTGCTCAATAGAAATATCAGCATTGTGATCATTACTGTTATTGAGTACTTTTTTAAAGCAGCTGTTTTTGTAAATCAATAATTTGTAATACATTTTGTAATTTGAAATGTACACTTCTGTTTAAATGTTTTACAGTATGATAATAGTGTTATTATGAAATACAATATCTTGTAAATATTATGTAAGGTTATTATTTTTGTAATTATATGTTCATTCTTAAAAAAAAACCTTTTAGAAGTACAATACTTTCTCGAATGCTTTTTCATTCGTATTTAAATAAAAATCTAAATTAAACACTTGTATAATAATTGCTTCAAAATACATTTCTACCTGCATAATACAATTTACAAAATTCAAAATACAATATTCCTGCAACTGGCACATTCCAACCATTCACTGCTACCGTCGCTGGCAGCTAGATATCTGCAACCCTCACATGGCCACCGACTGAAGCTAAGCAGGGCTATGCCCGGTCAGTACTTGGATGGGAAGCCACATGGGAAAGCTAGAAGTGGTGTTAATGAGGCCAGCAGGGGGCACTCAACCTGTGGTATGTGTTGGTCCTAATCCCCCAGAATAGTAAAGGGGACTCTATACTGCTAATTGAGACATTAAACTGAAGTCCTGACTCTCTGTGGTCATTAAAAATCCCAGGGTGTCCTTAGAAAAAAGAAGGGGTTTTAACATCCTGGCCAAATTTACCCACTGGCTTGTGTCCATCATGGCATAATTGGTTTCATCCCTCTGACTCCTCTCCACCAATCCGCTGGTGTGTGTGGTCTGGCGCAGTATTGCTGCTGTCTCGTCATCTAGGTGGATGCTCCACACTGGTGGTGCATAAGGAGATTCCCCCCCATTGTGTAAAGCACTTTGAGTGTATAGAAAGCGATATATAAGGAATTATTATTATTATGGTTATTATTATTATTATTATTCAACTAAAAGCTACAGTTAAGCACATGGCTATATCAAGAAGCACATACATTTCACATTAAGTTTGGGTTCCTCCAAAAGTTCATTCATTCATTTTCTTATCGGCTTAGACACCTTTATTAATCCGGGGTTGCCACAGCGGAATGAACCGCCAACTAATCCAGCAAGTTTTTACGCAGCGGATGCCCTTCCAGTCGCAACCCATCTCTGGGAAACATCCACACACACATTCACACACACACTCATACACTACGGACAATTTAGCCTACCCAATTCACCTGTACCGCATGTCTTTGGACTGTGGGGGAAACTGGAGCACCCGGAGGAAACCCATGCGAAGGCAGGGAGAACATGCAAACTCCACACAGAAACGCCAACTGAGCCGAGGTTCGAACCAGCGACACAGCGACCTTCTTGCTGTGAGGCAACAGAACTACCTACTGCACCACTGCCTCGCCCCCTCCAAAAGTTTAAATATATAAAAAGAATATAAATAGAATATATGGAAATGAATATAAATTAAAATAAAAATTAATTTATCTAACACTAGCACTCTGCTGTACAACAGTGTTATGTTTCTGTCACTAAATCTGTACTTTAAATCAAACTTTTATTTTGATGGGTTGTTGTGGAAATGCTTTGCAGTCCAATATGCACAGACTTTAGTCCATGTTGTGATTAGATTAATTGTAACAGCTATGTTTTTCAGATTCTTTGATGAAGAATTCATTTAAGTTGAAATCATATCAATTTTATTGTTTTGAACAGCAGTTTTTAAAATAAATTCCATAAATACACATTAGTCAGTAATTTAAGAATTGAGAGATGCCTTGCGTGAGTGTTGTTTCTTTATTGTCAAATATGCGGTTTTAGTTATCTGTACTTAACTAAAAAAAAATCAAGTTCAGGACAAATGATTACCAGTTATCAGATTGTAATTTTTTAATTGTATTGTTTCTTCTCTTCTTTAGTTTTTCCCTTACGGTGATGCCTCAAAGTTTGCTCAGCATGCTTTCAGAACCTTTGACAAGAATGGCGATGGCACCATCGACTTCAGAGAGTTCATCTGTGCTCTGTCCATCACATCACGAGGCAGCTTCGAACAGAAGCTCAACTGGGCCTTTAACATGTATGACCTGGATGGAGATGGCAAAATCACACGAGTCGAGATGCTTGAGATCATTGAGGTACCTGAATTCAGTCTGTTTACTTCCAGTAATAAACTTTTAATATTTTGTGCATGAAATGTGTAAGATTATATGCATACAATGCTCAGCATTTATAAGTACACCCGTCACAAATCTCTCTTTTAAATTTATATTTTTTTATAGGAAGCTATACAATATTATATTTGTGCATATACATTAGTTTAGTCAGTACTGAAACCAAATCTGGAGCTAAATAACAATAACTGTCCAAAAACTAGTACACCCAAATGTGTATGTTATTGAAATTTTGTAGGTTGTAATTTATTTTTGCAATATTTTGCTTGAATTTAATTGTATTATCTTTTAAATTATAATTTTATTGTATTAGCTTTCAATTTCTAAATATGTTTGTTGACTAAAATATTATTTTAATAAATATATTTGTTTTAAAAATCTGTTTTGTTTTTAATGCACCAAAATACATTGCCTATATTTACTGAGAAATGGATACAAATATTCATCTTTAAAATGGGGTGTACTCATATATGCTGAGCACTATACAGGTATACATACTCTCAAAAAATAATTTGCTGTTTGTTCAAACTACTTATTTAAAACTTAATTGTTTTATGTTTATAAATACATTTTCAACAAAAAAAAAACATTAAGTTACCTTCATGTTGTCCCAACACAATTCAATTGTGTGGAACCTAGCATTTTTACAGTGTATATGTGCATGCATTACATTGTGGGGACCATTTGGTCATTTGATCATTTGTGTATTGGAGCAAAGCAAAGCATCCAAGAATGATGAGAGCAAGCAACAATCTTCTGTCAGCAGTGCCTAATAGCTCTGATTAAAAAGTATAAGATTTTTATTTATAAAATTGCTTTTTTAAATATTTAAACACAAACATACCCACTTTGAAAGGACAGAAACTTCCTTGGACACTGGAGCGTTTAAATGCCATGCCAATGTGCTGACAATCAGCTGATAGATGCAGCTTTCAAACATTGGGTTCTATCATACATCTGGCACAATAAGGCACTAGATGTGTTTGGTGCATTTTGTTGCTATTTTCAGACCAGCGCAACCCTATTTTTCAAGTTTACCACCACATTGTTTAAATAGCAGAGCCATTTGCACCACTTTGTGGACTCATGGGTGTTCTGGTCTTGAAAGGAGGTGTATATTTTGAGGAACTATAATAGACTGCACAATTGACCAGCTGAAAGTAGGTCTAAAGTCCAGCTCAGAGCGCATTAGTTATGCACCTTAAATGCATACACATTGCTTAATACACACAGGATGTACAGCAATACACAAATATCTTTACAAATGAAAAATAATAAAGGATTAAATATTACAACAATTATTATTTTCTACATAAATATAAAAACCACTGCCTCCATGCCTTCTTCATCTCGGGGACTTTTTCAGTTTATTCATGACAATTTGCATTTTTATTATAATGTCATTATTATTAGTAGTATTATTTATTATATGCATATTTAAATTTGTTTAATTAGAACAAGTTTAGATGTGTCCACCTGTCAGGTTTTGGAGATGTACTGTATGCATCACCATATGGGGCATAAGAACAGGAAATAGTTTGGAAATAGCTCTGTTTTTTGATCACACTTCGTTATTATTGTTCATTTATTTGTTTGCTGGAAATTAGAACTGAATTTAGAAATAGTCTTGAAACAAATCCTTGTCTTTTAACTAAAATATATGTATATATAGACTGATGGATGTCTTCAGTGGAGTATGTTCAAGCGTTTCCTTATCCACAAAAGTAAAGAAGTAAAGAGAAAGTAAAGAGGCTGAATGGAGGAGGCTTGTTTTTTTATTCTCACGCAGATGGTACAAACTTACACTTAGTACAAACGCAGATGGTACAAACTTACAAACTTACACTTACAAAGTCACCATGTAAATAGAAATTGCGCCACGGAGTGACACAACTGACTCTCAAAGGGAATGGGATGAGACTTGGTTTAATGCACATTATGCTCAAAACCCGCCCATAACTCATTAAAAGAATGAGCACAACCCTGTTAGACCATGCGCCTGGGTACAGAGCGTATTTTTCCATCCTTAAAATAGCAAAAGTGCATTCGGACATGCCCTTAATGCTTTTGCGCCATGCGCTTTAGACTTTGCGCCTAGATTTTTAAAATAGAGTCCATAGTGTCCGCTAGAGTGCTGTTGAAAACCAGTGATAATTAGAGCCAATCTCAGACATATCTGTTGAGCACATGAACACAACGGCCAATCAACAGTGTTCAAGAGTCCACTTATCAGTGCTCGAAATGCTCACAGGAAATGCTGCTATGATCACATATTTATTCATCTCAATACAAACTCATAGAAGTTGCTACTTCTGACACCCTTATCACCATTGCGGCCCATCGTGAAAGCCAAACTATTGCACAGCATCACAGCTTGACTGAACAATTCAGAATCAGCTCTCCTCATATGATGAGGAAAATCATGAATAATAATTAGACAGCGACACATCATTGTAGAACTTGCTACATCGCCACAAGTGGCAGCGAGTAGAGATATTGACTCTAATTACAGCACTCCGAATGGTTGAAATCCAACATGTTCTGTTTTTCTCACTGAAAGGCAATCTACAAGATGGTGGGGACTGTTATCATGATGAAGATGAATGAGGACGGCCTGACGCCCGAGCAGAGGGTTGACAAAATCTTCAGTAAGATGGATAAGAACAACGACGACCAGATCTCATTGGAAGAGTTCAAAGAAGCAGCAAAGAGTGACCCGTCCATTGTATTACTGCTGCAGTGTGACCTGCAGAAATGAGCGTCTCGGAAAAGAGCCAGGGACTGCACAAATGATTAATGTTCCATTCAGTTTGCAGCTATTTCCACTGATAAAAAAAATTGCTTGGACTACCTTTCAATGAATCCGCTTCCTGTGTTTGAAACACTTGTGTGCATGAGAATGTTCTTTGCTAACGAATTTCACACTCACACACTGATACAATCACAGTTACACACATATTACAAATGCATACACACATACAGACCATGCCATGCACAAATAGAATTATATATATATATATATATATATATATATATATATATATATATATATATATATATATATAGAGTTGTTGAAATTAACTGCCAAAATGTGAAGAGTGTGCAAAGTACTTTCTGAATCCACTGGAGCTTGCGCATCATTGATGTGCTGTATTAAATCGAGCTACTATTTATTGTACTGATGCTAGCTATGTGTAACATATACTGCGTAACTTCAACAGAACCGATTCTTATGGTAATCATAACTGTTTTACCCAGATTTACCTACTCATCTGGATGGACAAAAAGATAAGCTCAGGTCCATCACATTTTTCCCCTTTAAATGTGTTTGTACTGTTGGTGAATATAAATGTAGTTTATTTGCATGCCATTAGGTTTGCCTTAAGAGAACGTCCCTCATTTGCATCCTGCATAACGAATGAAAATAAGCCTTATTTAAAAGAACAAAAAGCTATTAAAAATGTTAAAAAATTAAATTAGAACAAAGATTTAAGATCTGTAAAGGGATAGTTCACCCAAAAATCAAAATATGCTGTTTTTTTATAGCTGAAATGGTGATTCGTAAAATGAAAATCAATGTACTGACACTTCATTAATTCATTTTTTATGGCTTAGTCGCTTTATTTATTAGGGTTCACCACAGTGGAATGAACGCCAACTTATCCAGCATATGTTTTACACAGCGGATGCCCTTCCGGCTGCAACTCAGTACTAGGAAACACCCGTTCACTCTTACATACACACTCAAACACTAAGACCAATTTAGTTTATTTAATTCACCTACAGCGCTTGTCTTTGGACTGTGGGGGAAACTGAAGCACCCGGAGGAAACCCACATGAACCACCTGAGACTCGAACCAGCAACCTTCTTGCTGTGAGGCGACAGTGCTAACCACTGAGGCACTGTGTCGCCCTCTACTGACACTTTTAGAGTGAATAAAGCAACAACTTTAGCTGCTGCTAATAGACTGTGGCCTGTACAAAAACTGAACATTATTTATTACATTATTACCCATAATGCACCGCCTCTGTACATGATCATAAGCACATTTATAGCAGTGTGGAGTGTGAGCTTATAACAACTTAATTATGTTTCTAAAAAAAGTAGCTAAAGGTTTTATATGTTTTTTTTTTTGACTCTCAAAGTGGCTACAAACTACTTATTTGCATTTTATGAATCATCAAGTGGTGGCGCGGTGGCTCAGTGATTAGCACTGTCGATGCACAGTTAGTAGGTTGCTGGTTAGAGAACCAAAGACATGCGGTATAGGTAAATTGGGTAAACAAAATTGGCCATAGTGTATGTGTGTGTGAATGAGTGTGTGTATGGATGTTTCCTAGAGTTGTGTTGCGGCTGGCAGGGCATGCACTGCTTAAATTATTGCCGAAATAATTGGCTGTTCATTCCGCTGTGGCGGCTTCTGATATAAAAAAGACTAAGCCGAAGAAAAATGAATGAATGAATAAATGAATCAACAAATACCATAGTTATACTGAGAAAAGCCACCTACATTTTGGATGGACTGAGATCATTTGTGTAATTTAACAGTATATTACAATTTTTCAGTGAACTATCCCTTTAAATGTGTGCAATGCATTGATGGGAAACGCTAGAATACTACACCTTCTATAGCATGTACATCACATGAGGGAGGCTGAATGTAATTTGTGAGAACAATTACACAACTGAAACCATACTTTTTATTATCATTGTTGAAATATTACAATATTCCCAGATTAAACCTACAAGCTGTGCAGTTTCAGAATGTCATCAATTGAAATGATTTGCATATCAGTGTGCAGATTCATGTGGGGGCCGAGGGTGAAATGAATTTAAGACCATTTTGAGATGTAATCTTGCCTCAAAGTTGTATCTGTTTTAACTCCCACCTTAAAACCTCCAAGACTGTATTTAATCATACATTTTACATGCTACTCTTAAAGAAGAATTGTTTTAAAGGCTAATCCTGAGGTTAGTAGTTTTTAAGTCCAGGCATTTGCACCAACTGCGCATTTTGAGCACTGACCCGATTTCTAAATATGCACATTTCTGTGCTCCATTTAAAAGTACGTTCTGCCAGTGTCAAGAGCTTTACACAAGCATAACCTTTGTCATTGTAATGTTTACCTATTTAGGCACCGCACCAAATTCATGCAATGGCAAACTTTTCCAATTTCCAAGTTATTTTGTACATGTAGCATGTATTGTGCCCCTGATGCCATGGCTGCACTACTCCTTGTGTTGTGGTTTAAACTAATAAAAGAGTATAAGGGATGTTTTCTCAATGTCAGAGTATGATTTCAAAGGTGTGTGGTTGTCAGTATAGTTGTTATTGAAACATATTACCTGCACTTCTAGTGTTGTTTTTAAATTAGCACAGATATAAGCCAGGTCTGATGTGAGTATGCATTACCTTACAAGGGAATATATTTGTTCTACCATCATTTAAAGGCTTAACTAGATTAATTAGGTTAACTAGGCAGGTTAAGGTAATTAGGCAAGTTATTGTGTAATGATGGTTTATTCTGTAGACTATCTAAAAAAAATAACTAAAAAGGGGCTAAAATTTTTTACCTTAAAATGTTTTTTAAAAAATTAAAAACTGCTTTTATTCTAGCCAAAATAAAACAAATAAGACTTACTCCAGAGGAAAAAATATCAGACATACTGTGAAAATTTCCTTGCTCTGGTAAACATCATTTGGGAAATATCTAAAAAAAAAATAATAATAATAAAAAAAAAAATCAAAGGGGGGCTTATAATTCTGACTTCAACTGTATATCCTCATTTCCTTTCTACAACTATTGTCTGGAAGAAATCCTCTTCTTTCACCTTGATCCAGAATTTCTCTCCCAAATATGCTCTATAATATAGACAAAATAAGCCTAAATCTTTTTTTTTAAATGTCTTACTCTCAGGAAGTTCACTTTAGCCTCAGCAGCGGGGGAGTTTTGAGATCGACTTGAGCTCAATCTCACCTTGCCCTGCGAAAGGGAGGTAGCCCTGGGCCCGAGGATCCCTTGAGTTCAGGGCTCTCTCCCGGAACAGCATGCCGATCAGGCTATTTATAAATCATGAGCTAAGTGTGAACCCAACAAACACATTTACGTTGTAGCGATGTCTGCACAACGTTGTATTTTTTCAAAGGCAACGTTGCCGCTTACGTGCTCGCTACATTGTCACAACGTAGAAATGTAAGACGTGAGAAGGCTGTAGCAACGTTGTCGTGCGACATGCAGCAACCGCGAGGCGGCGTTCTTACTACTTGTATTAATATTTTTTGTGGCAGTTTATCAATACTGCCTAGAATACAGGATAAGCAGCAATTATTTTCCAGTATTGCTTAATATTAAATATTGTTCATTTATTTTTCCTATTTCATTTAACAACTGCATGTGTAAACTTTAAAGTGTAAAAATGCCACACAAATGAATATAATCAAACTTTTTATTATATATTTCACAACATTTAATATATACAGTACAAATCTATTTATAAACAAACAGTATAAAGTTTAGATTATATATATATATAATTAAACTAAAGGGTAAACAAACAAGAAAAGTAAACAAGAAATCATTAAAATGTATATTTATATATATATATATATATATATATATATATATATATATATATATATATATATATATATATATATATAAATTAAAATTCAGACACTGGGCAGTGAAGCTCTGGACTGGAGAATACAGCAGACCAGGGAGCGCAGCTGAAGACCAGGCATAGTTGTTGGTATGGAGAAAGCAGTCAGAGGAAGAAACAAATTCAACAGATAATCCAGCTTCAGAGATCCACAGCAGACACAAGTCAAAATAGGCAGTGAACAAGAGAGGACAGATGGAAACGAATATGACTAGCAAGTTATTGAAATTTCAGACATTTATTGTAATTTCATTACATATAAAATCTCCAGTGAACGGAATGCCGAAATGTTACTCGCTCGTAACAACTTCATTACGGCTTTTGTGTGTGTGTAATGTTGGAACAGATTGTTGTCGAAATCGTAGGTTTGTTTGAATATTCACGATTTACGTATCTTATTTAGCAAGAAGAAATAAAGCAATACTCACGTCTCCTCGGTCGTTGATGAATGAGACGACGGCTTGTTGAAATTTAAACTGATTCAGCTGTGACCAGTAAATGTTGTACAGTGGTTGTCCACGCAACCTAAGCACAACCTAAAGTATGCGGCCCTCGTGATGTTTAAATGGCAACCTTATGACATCGTTGTGACAACCTTTAGCAACAACGTAGAATCCTCAACCTTTTTACAATGTTGGTACAACGTTGTAGGAAGGTCGCTACGTTGAGGCAACGTTGTGTGTTTGTTGGGAATTCTTGAAACTACAAAATGTATCAAAATAAAGAACAGTAGCATTTTGAAAATACTTTTACAAAGGAGCATAAAATTTCTTAGCTAACTTTCCAGGCCTATTCGGTCAATCCTTTCTCTGCACCTCATTCACCTCTTGAGGAGGTATTCATAAAAATATTACTTGTGTTAATTTTATCATTATTATTATTTTGCAACTGAAATCTGTAAAACTGTAAAAATCGTGATCTCTGTAAATCTACTAAAATCTCCAGTTTTCGTCATTCTCATAAATCATGTTGTTTTTGCTGCCATAAATCCTGAGTTGTAAGTTTTTGACCAGTCTGTAGACTGGAGTATTGTTAAATATTTTGTCTCATACTTGATATGCTCCCGAATCTACCTCTGCTGTTTAACTGTAATTTTCTTTATATGTGTTGAATATTTCTATCCACACTCCAAGCATTAATCAACTTTTTAATTAATCAACACTCCAAGCATTTAATCAACTTTTTAATTAATATTAATCAATTTTCTAGTCAAGCCCTAGAAAATAACTGACAAAAAACGCCAATGAACTGCATAACTGGAATGCCCTATATCATTCATAACAAACGTCTTCAGTTAGATGGCAGCAGAGAGCTGAACTCGTAAAGTTTTAATGTCCAATCATTGATCGCCACCTGGTGGCTAACTTCAGTACATGTCAAAAACCCACCCTCTAAATGTGACAAAGATAAATTATTAAATAATAAAAACAAACAAACACACAAATTACAGTTCAACTAAATATTTCCCAAAAATGGTTCCTATAATGTAACGTAGTTCTTATTACACCAAAGTGTTTAATGGATTTTTTTCCTGATAAGTTTTTTTACTTATTGTAAGGTAAACAAGGTAAGCATTGGTAAGTATAATATAAAAGTATAATAGTTAAAGTATTATTAAGTATAATAATTAAAACATATATTAACCTTCATTACAGGTTTTAATGAATTTTTGCTGTACGTTGAATATGAATATATGGAAAAAAATTTAAAAACTAAACTGTTAATAACTGAATTTATAGGGTTTAATGTGAAATTTGGCCAAAGAATAATTAGAAATCGTTACATAAATCATGAAAATCATTTAATAAATGGCCAATCATGGGAACAAATCCACCATCATAAATGATTTTTAAATCATTAATGGTTTTTATTTCTTATTTATTTTTTTTTCATATGAACAATCCATATAATTACAAGAAGAGAATAGATAAATAAAGAACAGCCAGTAGAATACAATTCAATCAAAATTAAGGCAAAAAACATCAAGATGGTACAGTTTACTTGTCAATTTTGAATTTTATTAAGCATAGAATAAAAAAATATGAGCTTGACGTCATCTCAAAGGAACATGGCCATTGGATTTCCCGGAAAGACGTCATCACACTGCGCCGTCAAACGATCCAAAGTGCGTAGATTTTGAGCTTGTGCTAGCTTGCTTTTTATTTCCACAGTAAGAGAGTTTTTCTCAAAAAGTTTCCTTTAAATAAATCCAGCCATGGCGATGCAAGCGGCTAAACGAGCGAATGTAAGTTCAATTTTGTTTTAATCGTTCAAATGTTCGTATTGTTGACAGTGTTAAGTTAGCCCTTCGACGGCTAATCCCGACATACAAGATCGCTGTTTGTTGTTTTTCTATTATAAATGTGAATAGCTAAGATAAGTTGTTAATGTAATATTAAATGTTAATGTTATAATATATGGTAAAATGTATTCCCCGATATGTAATATATCGTGTAATACGTTCGCTGGGTGTACAAACGTGATCAAAACGTACCCAATTGTGTACATATATTCATTCACGAAATCTCTTTCATTCTTAAATGTTTTTTTAAAGCCACGAGGGTGTTCAAAATCTTAAATCTTTGTGAATTAACAATAAGAAAACGTGTATTTACGTTTGTCTGCAGGGTATCCGCAGGGTCTTTAAATGTCGTAAATTTCAAAAGTAAAAATTTTACGTTTTGCGTTAAAAAGTCATAAATTCACTGAAATATTTTGTTGTAGGTCTTAAATAATAAAAAGATCTACCCAATTAATTCAACACCAAATTACCATGTCAACTTTTGGTTTTATATTTTTATTTTTTTATTATTTTTTTACTGCAAAGAGGTGCAATTCACAACAGCAGACATTTTACAGCAAATTCTCTAAATTAAATTCCCTAATCTGGGAAAGAGAACTGAAGCAAAACATTCTTTTACATGATCTTTAATTATTAACAGATAAACTATTTACAGAAGTATCTGGGTCATTAGAAAATAATTCTTAGTGTTTTACCCTGTAAAAGTAAAAAAAAAATCAATCTTAAAGGTCTTAAAGTTTTAAATTACACTTGAAGAAACCTACAGAAACCCTGGTCTGTCTCAACACTGTTCTTTGTTGGCATCTTTTCAGATTCGTTTACCTCCTGAGGTGAACCGGATATTATATATCCGTAACCTTCCTTACAAGATCACTGCAGAGGAGATGTATGACATTTTTGGAAAGTATGGGCCTATTCGTCAAATCAGAGTGTGAGTATCAGTCTGTTTCTTGCATTAACATACTTTCACACAAAGGGTTTATGCTAGGTTTCCGCTACATTCATTCTTCCATGGCTGGGCGTCATGCCAAAATTCATCCTGCCAAGGCTACATTACCGCTTCACATTCAAAACATTTTATTTTTTTAATAGCGGGTGATAATCACACCAAAACTTATTAAAGGGTAAGTTAATTATAACTGCGTGAACATTTCTGTAACCGTAGTAGTGATGTGCGTCATTTGTTTAACCCTTCAAGGTTACAGGCTGACTGGCTGACTGACTGACAGGTGCGTGAGGCCAGCAAACACGACGTATAGCTGTTTCACTTTACTTCAGGACGCATTAATACGGCTCTGTAGGTCTATTGGACACATTCATAAATATTCCTAGCAAGTCTAATAAATGCTGGAGATATACTCGTTACATAAACTCAATAAATCGCTCTTCAGCAGCATTTATTTGAAAGTGCACAAGAAGATCTGCAAGCTCTTGATGCGGCTTATATTTGAAGGGCGTTTAAGAAGTTTTGTGCACGAGCAGAGGAAATCAGTGCACAAGCAATGAGATTCGTATGCTGTAGGCTATCACATAAATGCAATCTCGACTTCTAATACTGCGCTCACGACGTTTGTCATTGAAATAATGCCACAGGTTATCTGTGTAAAAAAAAGGCATGCTGCCACAGGTGGAAAAAACCTAGAGGAAACACTGTATGCGTTTTATCATTGTGGTAAAGTTTTATATTTGCACTTTCTGACTTTCTCCTCTTTCTGAATATAAGTACAGAAAACTACTCTGCAAATTGTTAATAGGGAAATCAATTGAAGTGAATTAGATTTTGATTAGGGCACAATATATCGTTTCAGCATCTATATCGCAATGTGTGTGTCCACAATCACATCACAGGGATCTGCAATGTAGTCGAGATTATAGTTGACAAGACATTACAGTTAACAACATAGTGGAGTCTAGGTATGGGCCAGTATAAGATTCTGATGGTATGATAACCTTGAATAAAAATATCACTGTATCATGATATTGTGATCACTGCTCTAAAATATTCTTTTTAAATGTCTGGGTAAAAAAACAAAAACTTTTTTCCCCTTTGAACACAATAGATTTTATTTTGAGAGATTTAAATTCTTTTGGAAAAGTAAACATCAGGCTAAATAATTCAAATGAATCATTGACTTCTACTGTTTTCAAAAAAAAAAAAAAAAAAAAAATGGTATTACAGAAAAATTTGGCGGTTTTAAAACCTTGACTTTTCCAAACTGCGGTATAACTTGAAAATAGTTGTCATCCGAAGCCTAGTGGATTCATTATTATTTGCCAGTGATTTTAAGACCTAACTGTAATAATTTCAAACAAACCTAAACATTTGGGCACAATAAATTAAACGTTTGTAGCTTAAAGGTTAATTATTCATTTGTATGCAATTAAATGACACAATGCTATTATTATTATGATCATTATTATTATTATGATTATTATAGATTGATTACTGAATACTGTTTGACTGCCCATAAAATTATAAATCTTTGTTTATTTGCATCTTTTGTCCATTGTATTTAACTATGCTAGTCATTTTAATATAATACTTTATACAGATACACTCCCCTGCAGAATCATCCTAATCTTTACAAGCTAGTCGTCTGCTGAAATTGCATTTATATCACTATATATATATATATATATATATATATATATATATATATATATATATATATATATATATATATATATATATATATATAGCAGTGAATAAAAATATTGCAATGTCAGTTTTTTTTCCAAATATCGCGCAGCTCTAGTTTTGATATTCACGCGATCATTCAGTGAAAACTTGTGATATGGTCTCTATATTTTTTACCACTCTACTTTGAATATTTGGGCAGAAATAGCATGCAAGTATGACTTCAAAACAACGTCAGCACTATTTGATTGACTGTGAACCATGTTGTCTTTTGTTTGTCTTTGGCCGCTAAAATGACTTCCCTATTCAGAATTGGCAAAGAATACTTTTTGAAATTCTAATATTAAGGAAAAGTCAGAATGTGCAAATATAAAACCTTACCCCAATGAGAAAACATATTAGCATCAAATGACTATCAAAGTACAACATTAAATAGAGCTAATGTTGTTTTAAAGTTATAATTACATGCTATTTCAGGCCGAATATTCAAAGTACAATATAGGCTGTCACAAGTTGTCATTGTTCAAAAATGAACAAATGTGCAAATATAGAACTAACTTTACCTCCGTGATTGTGTCATTAATATATTTGTGTTTGTAAGTTGAGTAACTGAATGTTCCGTTGTTATTTTTCTTCTTCAGCGGGAACACACCAGAGACCAGAGGCACAGCCTATGTTGTATATGAAGACATCTTTGACGCCAAAAATGCCTGTGATCACCTTTCAGGGTTCAACGTCTGCAACAGATACTTGGTTGTGTTGTATTATAATGCAAACAGGGTGAGTTTGTTTGGCTTTGAAATGCTAACATTTGAATCAATCAACTTGTTAAGTGTGGCATCAAGCAAAGCGGCTTTCAGGTCAAAGGGCTCTATCAAAAGTAACGGGGAGGCTCAACAAATGGAAATAATAAACATTTAAAAATCGATTTAATGCTTTCAAAAATCACGATCGCTATATATATATATATATATATATATATATATATATATATATATATATATATATATATATATATATATATGCGCCTAATATCTGATGGCCAGAAAGTGATACATTTTTATAAATTGTTAAAATATTGGTGTCTGCAAGCAGCAAGACTCTTGTGTGCACCATGGTTTTTATATAAAATTCACTTAAATAAGTGATGTGACTAAAAAGTGGACATAAACGAATCTTTTCTCAATTGAAATGAGTAGTACCTTGAACCCGAAAACAGTATTTAATTTCTTTCTTCACGACTTAACAAGCGAATAAATGTGTAAATATTATTATTATTATTATTATTATTATTGTTGTTGTTATTTTTATTTCCATGAATTGCATCCATAAGTTTTACATTAGAAATCCAACAATTTGATTTCTGTCATGTATCCTCTTTTTTTATTAAGATGTTATGCCTATTAAAGTCTGTACTTTTTGATAAATAAATGAAAAGGGTATTCTCCATATTCCAGCATTTCATTTTTAAATGATGCACTACTTTATGTTAATGGAAGTAGTGATGAGGCTATATATTAATGTTTACTTCTTTTTTTCCCAAGGCTTTCCAAAAAATGGACACAAAGAAAAAGGAGGAGCAGCTGAAACTTCTCAAAGAGAAGTACGGGATAAACACAGACCCACCAAAATAGTCAACATAGATTTTTTTTTTTTACTCTTGTTCTGTCTTGCACCCATCTCATTTTCACTTTACTGCTTTAAGTAATACTTGTTTAAAAGGAAAGGACTGTTTGACCATTGTTCTTTGCTTGAACTGAAGTCTTTTGGCAGAGCTAATTTCTTTTTCAATTAATTTTCTGTTAATATTGAATAAAATGATATTTGTTCATCGGGTTTGTTTTAATAAATCATTGATTCTCCTTTTTTAATATAAATGTTTGGTGTCTTTTTGCACTTATTGTAAAGGTAAAATAGATTCAAAGTTCTGGAGTTTAAAAATGAATCAACTGATTTTACAAATGAAAGTTGATGCAATGCTTGACAAACACATTAATTAATATTTCTCTGGTTATCAGTAAATCTGTGTGTGTGTGTGTGTGTGTGTGTGTGTGTGTGTGTGTGTGTGTGTGTGTGTGTGTGTGTATATATATATATATATATATATATATATATATATTAGATTATATAAATGCGCATCTATTGTTTTTTTTATTTTGAAACAATATTTTATTTTTAAATAAAATAATGTTGTGTGTTTGTGCATATTATATATTATAAGTTATATACTCCATACATAAATAAACAAAATGTATAATTATATATTATAAAAAAAACGCATTGTTGCCGACGTCTTGTAATGAACTTCCGTTTGACCTTAAATGAGCCAATCAGTTTCTAGCAGGGGAAGGAGGCGCGAAAGTACCAGTGCTGGATCTAGTTAGGCGTCTGTTAATTTGATTGTTTAGTTGTGGGATGTCGGTTTGTTTCTGTGATTTTCATATTGCTGTATCTTTGTTGTTCGCTAAAACTACGCTTGACTGGGGAAAAATCCCTTTTCAGTTCGCTTACCTTTGATTTGCTTCGACGTTTGATGAGAGGCCAAGATGTCGTTGGTCAACGCTGAGTTCAGAGCGGAATTTAACCTGAAGTGGTGAGTGTTTGTAGTAAGTTAAATGTCTAACGTTATTTGTTTTTTGCGATGTGCATTAAATTATTGTAAACTAATATAATTGACATTGACGAGAATGTTGACTCTTTTACTCGTCGCAAACTGCTGAGAAGTGTCGAATTATGAACAGTTTAAATGCATTGAATCAAATTGGTTTTATAAGGTAACTTATCAAGTAACATTTTTAATTAAGTTAACGGTAACATTTTGCTTTTAAACGCTGATTTAACGTTATAAATTACCTGTTCGGTGCACTCCTCGGATATAAGGTTAAGGAGAAGATTGTTATCTGTTTTAGGAAATTTATTTTAATTTATTTTAATTTTATGAGCTCCTGCTATTTACATTACAGTTAACGTTAGTTGAGACCATCCATAATCTAAATAATTCAACTTTTTAATGATTGTATTGTCTATAAGTTGAGCGTTGATTCTGTAAGTAATGGTAAAATACATTATATTTTATTTGCGTATTTAATTTTGTTAATAACTTGAGGCTGCACTTGTAAGAAATGTGAGCCATACAGTCTTTACAAAAACGTTTTTTATTTTATTTTTTTGCCATTTTTCTTGTGTTATATTTATATTGATGTATTAGTGGTGTAAAGGATCCCAAATCTCAAGGTTAGGATCACATTATTTTTTTTTTTAGTCACGGATCAGACCATTTTTTTTGGATCAGCCAAAAAGAGGAGAGGAATGTTATTTGCTTTCCATTTATTACAAAAACATTACTGCAAGACACTTTTGGTTTTAATAAACAGAGCTTAGAAGTTGTAATTTTATTAAAAATAACATGAAGAAATGATAAGATGAATAAAAGTTAATTGTATAATATTCAGTAACTTATTGTAAAATATTCACTGTTACTACTACTGTTGCTGTAAACACTAAATGTAAAAATCTAACATAACTTGTACAATTCATACAAATTGTAAGTCTCATTTTCAATAAATTATTCAGTTATTCACTTATAATACTTCGTTTCATTGCTTGATGGATCGAATTTGAAGAATTTTTCAGTGATATTTTTGATGGCTGGTTTTAATGTAATTGCTGCCTACAACTTTTATTTTTGACCGTATGATGGTGATTTTAATCTTTATCATAAAAATCAGTGCTTTTATCTAAACTGTAAACGTTGGCTGTTTGTAACTTCATAACTAACTCAAAAGACTAAAAACTGAATCTCTTTTTTTTTTTTTTCTAATACAGATTTGAATGCTGCGATTCGAATGATTAATAAACGTATGCAAATCACCATTTTTATAGTTTTTGCGTGGTTGTTGAGATCCCGATACTTCAATGATTAATCCTGCAGCTTACACTGAATCGTGCCTCGTCTGAAGTGACAGAAAACACCTTTAGGTTAAGAAGCCCACCACATCCCGAATAACCCACCACAACTTCTTCCATCATCATTATAATTTACAGGAAATTAGAATTTCTAATTTAGAATGAATCTACAAGTTAAAAAATGTATCAATCCGTGGGTCACATGTGTACCATGAGTTGTGATCCGTACAAATTATGGATCAACCATGATCCGTTACACCCCTGTGATGTACTAGTAATTAGTGCTGCTCGATTATGGGAAAAATCATAATCATGATTATTGTAATCCCGATTATTCAAAACGATTATAAGTGGAAGTCTTAATTATTCGCCCTTCTGTGAATTTTTTTAATATATAAATATTTCCCCAATGTAGTTTAACATAGGATTTTTTTTTTTTTTTACAGTATTTCCTATATTGTTTTTCTTCTGGAGAGGCTTATTTCATTAATTTCGGCTAGAATAAAAGCAGGTTTAAATATTTTAAATCTTAATCTTAATAGCTCGATATTTTTAGTCCCTTTTAATATATATATATATTAGGGGTGTAACGATATTAAAACTGAACCTAAATATCACCAACCACGATACGCATCGCGAAACTCTCTTGGCGTACCGCGGTACTCTCACGCCCCCTACTGCCCATTTTTTAGGTTGACGTCACTTGTCTCTAACTAATTGAACCAATTTAAACACATCTTTATTATCACATTTCATTAAATTGCTTTAGTAATGATGAGGTTTTGTTCTAAATACTATATTCTAAAGTTAGTATTTTAGTGCATGTCATGTCATGGGACTTGAGTGAGCATCACACTCGTTACTACTGGACGCAGGATGGCTGCTTCACATAGTACTGAGATTGCAGATCCCCAAGACACATTTAAGTCATCTGTGTGGAAACATTTTGGTTTTCCAGTGGAGTACAGAAATAGAAATCGTGTTGTAGACAAAGCGCATCTGTCTTAACTGTTTCACGAAACTTACTCAGCCTAAAAGGAAAAACATTTAAAAAGTGTGGTAATTTCACAATGTGAGGGTGTAAGCAACAGAACTGCCAACAAAAGTGATTTAATTTACAAAAGTGAAACAAGAAAAATGCCCAAATATACAAAAAAAGAGAGAAATATTTACACTAACAAAAATAATATAATAAAGTATCAAATTCAAACAAAAGTATCAAACAAAAATTAGTTAAACACGAGCAAGGGGATGATAGTGAAGACAAACAAAAGAAATAAATATATCAAAACAATTCTAACTCATGAATAACCCCTTACCCCTTGCGCCGCATTCTTCCCTATACTGAATAAAATAAACCAAGATGACCTTCGCCTCTTACCTGATGTCTTTAACAATACATTTTCTACGTGTTTGCAAAATAGAAATCGTATGACATTTTCACTATCCACCTTACACTAAGAGTGAACTTGAGGAGATGCAGCTATATTGTCGGGAAGGAGCGGAGCCAAAAAATAAGATACAAATTAATTGAAATAAAAATGTACAAACCTCACAAAATTTCTTAAAGTGGGCAAAAGTAATGCAAAATAATTAAACGAAATAAATAAAACGAAAGTTAAGCAAAAACAATGAAAATCATAATCATGTTGGAAAAATACACGAAAAAAGAGATCAAAAGAAAAAACGCTCTCTCCCGCTCTTCCTGACATGCTTTTTACATTCCCGCGCTGCGTCGCCAAATGATGATAGATTGGTCTCCTGACCAATCAACTGTCAAAAAGGCAGACCTACAGAAATGACAGGCATCAGCTGTCGTAAAGGCCCCCCCTACAGTACATAAATGACCGGCATGGAGGGAGCAGGAGAGAGAGAGAGATTGGGAGGACAGAAACTAGCCAGACAGTAATATGTGAATTGTGGAGCGGGCTAAATCTAAAAAAACATAAGTATTTTTTAGTAAGTGTGCTTTTTTTGCTTTTGTTTTTGCAATAATAAAACATATATTTGTAGAGCAACTCATGTTCTGTTATCATTAATATTTTAATAAATTGTAATAGGTATAACTGTTCGAGATATAAACAAAAGCAAGTGATGACCAATAATTATTTGCTAGAAATAGCAACAGCAGTAGAAAAGGAGGAAAGTTTGTTAAGTTTGGAAAAACCTGAGGGATAAGTTTGTTTATGCCAAAAGAGGCCATGACAAAAGTGGAGAGGTACACAATTACTGAATATGTTTTTCACCAGTCATATGTTTTACACTGATGTATATATTTGTGGATTGGGCTAAATGTAAAAAAAAAAAAACAACATCAGTATTTTTTAGTAAGTGTCCTTTTTTTTTTTTTTAAATTCTTGCTATAATAAAAAATATATTTGTAGAGCAACTCATGTTTTCTTGTGATTAATATTGTAATAAACTTTAAATGGTAAAACTGTCTGAGATATGAACAAAAGCAAGTGATGCATCAAAGTTTGATATTTAAAAAAGCTTGAATGCTTATAAAAATGCTTATAATCATTAAAATAATGTATAAAAACAATACAAAATAATTAGTTAAAAAATATAGAACACCATTATGATACGACGTAATTCCGGTAACTTCCTACTTTTCTGTTTATCCGGTTACCGTCTGATTTTAGTGTGGGTTTCTTTTGACTGCCCCCTGTCGTTGTAAAGAATATCACAACAGCGAACGCGGCGAGAATAAAAGCCTCGGCCGTTTCGCGAAGTCAGCGGAGGTGCGCGATGCGGTGCCAGGCGCAGGTATATTTTGCCCTTGAGACGAGGAGTGCGCACACATCTAATGTCATCTTAACGTGAGCGCTTGTTCAATGGTCAAATAGGTGTCAAAACGCGATGTTTAGTGATTATTCATATTAACCCTCATTTGTGTCATAAACAAACAAGTTGAGAATCAAAAAACACGCGAAAGAGAAACCATTAAAGAAACAGCACGCAATTAATCCTTCTGCCGCCTGTTTTTATGATTAATAATCCATCAACAAATGGAAAACATACCTCTGCTCTTGACTAAAGGACTTTTGTAGCTAAAATGTTTTTCTTACAGTGAAGATGCTTAAAGCACAGTTTGTTTAATATTTTTATTCTATTGTATTTATTTCTCTTTCCTTTGCAGGGTGGAAAATAACTGTATACAGTTGAAGTCAGAATTATTAGCCCTCCTGAATATTAGCAACCCTTTTGCCCCGATTTCTGTTTAATGGAAAGAAGATTTCTGAACATAATAGTTTTAATAACTCATTTCTAATAACTGATTTATTTTATTTTTGTCATGATAAGAGTACATTATATTTTACTAGATATTTTTCAAGATACTAGTATTCAGCTTAAAGTGACATTCAAAGGCTTAACTAGTGTAATTAGGCAGGTCATTGTATAACAGTAGTTTCTTCTACAGACAATCAAAAAAAATATTGCTTAAAGGGGCTAATATTAAAGACTTTAAAATGGGTTTCAAAATATTTAAACCTGCTTTTTTTCTATAGCCAAAATAGAAATAAAAAAGCATTAGGTGGTTAAAACGCTGCATAATTGTGATAATACATCACGTCTTTCTCAGCAGGGTTAAGGTGGTTTTGTTGTCAAAAAAAAAAGAAAAAATAAGCACTTTTCCCATGGTCCCTTACTGAGAGCCCTGCTTAGCGTGAGCTCTCTCTGCCTCAGCGCCAGACACTGCGCCAAAGCTCAGTTTGATTTTCTCAGTTGTCGCTCTAAAGGTAAACGAGCTAATGCTAACTTGTCAAGCTGGATAAAAAGTAAAACATCAGCACCAGGGACTTTACAGTCTTCACTTTAAAATGGAACAAAAGTAGGACCCTGCTGTTGAACTCCCTTTTACCTCATCCCTGTCTATGAGGCGCCGAACTCTGTATCAGTACGCGAGAGAGACCGTGTTCACTCCACTTTAAAATTTTTTTTTAAATGTCTCAATGTCGCGCGACACAAGGAATCGATTATGAAATTCGTTGTCAACACTTTGTAATCGATTTTTGTCGATTTAGTCGATTCGTTGTTGCAGCCCTAGTTATCTGCTATAAAAGATCCTATTGTTACTTTATGAAAAACAAATGTATGGTTTGCAAACAAAAATTAAGCATTGCAGTAAGAAATACACATTTGTTTTTATATACATGTCAATTTAATTAATAGTATTCCTGCTACAAAATCAATGAAAGATTATAATAAATCATTTAATTTAAGGCTGAAAGCTGCAAAACAGTCATTTAAAATTAAAAAGAAAAGTAATAAACATCTTAAGATAGAATGGACAAAAAAAGTAAGAAAAGTCTCACTTCTACCACTGGTTTCGGTTTGTGTCATTTTAAGTGAAGTTTTTAAACTAATTTCGAGAGGAGCACGTGATATAATTGACAGCAGCTGGCCACCTATCTACACTCATTAGTTAGCCAATCAGATCTATCCTAACCCACTATAAGTAGCCTAGCTAGACATTACTCCCTTATCTTCGTTTTCCGAAGAAACCCCCCATCCACCCCTTTCTCCTCCTTTTCTCCTTTACAAAAAGGGGAGCTCTCGAGAACCACCTGATCTCGTACTCCCCTCACATGCTCTATGGACCTGGCGGGAGCCCTGGGCTCAACTATCTCCGAGCTCAGGGTTCTCTCCCGGGACAGCATGCCAAACCTGCTTACAGCTGTCAAGCAATATCTAAGTGTGAACTCTTGAAATGGCCAGTGTCATTATGCGCTGATTTTCATTTTTCTGTGTTTGTGGAAAAAAGCAAGCGAGTTAGTTGGCCCAATATATGAGCGAGCAGGATTCTTGCGATGACCACTGGCGCAATACTGTTCATTGTTATGAGCCGCAGACTCACTTTAAACTTTGTACACATCATCGCCAAAGAAGCTGCCTTTACTGTGTTAGATTATACTTTTAGCGGACCTTTGTGCTGAACACGCAGTAAATCGAGATTCGGACACTCTCTGAAAACATTCGATTGATCTCGGCTAGCGGATCAACATTCACCACATGATTGCTGTCATCAGTGCCATTATTTGTAACTTTAGAGCGGGTTTGCAAATCTGTGTACTTTTCACTCTTCAGCCGTTTGCATTTCCCGCTTACAAAAGCTCCCTGTCATCTGACAATCTAATATAAACCAATATAGTGACAAAGACCGATTCAGCACATTTTTTTTGAAAAAAAAAAATCTAAACAGGTCGTGCTACAACCATTATATGCAGTCACACAAATGCTCCTAAATATATTATGAGGTTGCGTAGATTAAATTTCAGGTGCATATGTGACCAAAATGATCACAGTTTCGAGCTCTGATACTGTATCTTCATTTCTGTTTTTATGATTAAATGTTAACTTTATTAATAAAAATAATTATTATTATTACTTCAAAAACTTGGTTAATAGATGAGTATTAATGTTTCACTATTCTCCTCTCTTTCTAGATACTCTGACATTGGAGCAAGTGAGTCACTGAAGTAATCACAATGTGCTCCATTCCGGGACTCCCATCAAAAGGTTCAAATGTGCCTGTACTTATTACCAGAGTAAATCTCAACCCATCATGTGTTCTGGTAGAGTTTTGGGGTAATTTTGATGAAGATCGAAAATTTGCATATCAGCAGCTGAAAAAAGAGATTCAGTATCCCAGAGAGTGTTTTAGTGAATCAGATGGAAACCCTGGAGACTTGTGTCTTGTACAAGTGTATGAAACATGGTACAGAGCTCGTATCGTGTCCAGAGATTCTGATGAGTACAGTGTGTTCCTAATTGATGAAGGAAGAACACTGCGTGCTGCTGTCAACACTCTTGCATGGGGCAAAAGTGACTTTTTCTATCTTCCTCCTGAAGTTGAATTCTGCATTCTTGCCAATGCCTTACCACTATCTCCTGAAAACAATTGGTCCTCAATGGCCTTAGAGTTTATGAAGACCTTCTGTGGTCGAAGAGTCAATGCCACCGTTCAAGATGTTCTTGTAGCTCATCGAACATTCCTTCTTGACATTCCTTGTCTGTCAAGGCAGATGTTTGAAATGGGCTTTGCAAAGAAATTGTACAGTGATCAGTTCATGGAGTTTGTTGTGAGATCTTTGCAGGCCAGCACCGGAACTAGCGATCTTAAGAGAATTTCCTCCATTAGAACCAAACCAGTTGAGATCATTGAGCAAAAGGAAAAGCAGCAGGCCTACATGTTTCCTGAGCTGCAGACCGATACTGTAGAGACTGTTGTTATCACTGAGGTAACAAGTCCATTTCGAATATTCTGTCAGCTTAAGGTTTTCTCTCAGGAGCTGAAAAAGTTGACTGAACAGATCACTCAGTATTACGAGGGAAGAGTAGGAAGCTATTTTGCAAGAGCTGAGAATTTGGGCAGCCCATGTGCATCAAGAGGAAGTGATGGCAAATGGTATCGTTCTGTGCTGCAGCAAGTCATGTCTGCAAACAATGTGGTTGAGGTTTTGCATGTGGATTATGGGAAGAAACAATTTGTACAAGTTGAGAATGTCAAGCCACTTGCCTCTGAATTCTTCAGAATGCCGGTTGTAACATATGTTTGCTCTCTGCATGGAATTGTTGACAAAGGTGTTGGTTGGACTGCTTCACAGATTGACTACCTGAAATCTCTGTTGCTCAATCGCACAGTGATTGCCAAGTTTCAGTATCAAAGCCTTTCTGAGGGTGTCCACTATGTAACACTTTATGGAGAGGAGAACACAAACATAAACAAATTGTTTGAACTGAAACCAAAATGTTCACTGGACTCTGACATGACTCTTGCAGATTTCGCTGTTCAGAAGAGCCCATCATCTCAGAAGAGCAAGATTTCAAGGACAACCGAGAGCACACACATTAACGAGACCTACTCTGACCTTAAAGTGAACAAACCTGTCTTTTTCACAGAAACTCTCACACCTAACTCTACACACATGGCTGTTGTGCAGCATGTTGACAGCCCTGGAAAGTTTTGGATTCAAACACAGCGTTATGCTGATGAGTTCGATCTGCTAATGAATGGCCTTGGAAATCTGTACAGTGATCCAACAAGCACTGAATCATTGATTAGAAAGCCTGTTGTTGGTCTCATCTGTGCAGCTAAAGCACAAGATGGTGTGTTCTACAGAGCGGCTGTCTATAAGGTGATTGACAAGACAGCAGAAGTTTACTTCCTCGACTATGGCAACACAGAAGTTGTTGATAGTTTTAACCTTCGACAGCTGCCTTTAAGATTCCAGCAGCTACCAGCTGTGGCAGTAAAATGCTCTTTACATGGTGTTAAACCCAGATTGAAACTCTGGGAGGAGAGAGCTACGTTGTTCTTTTCAAAACTTGTCAGAGACAGAATCATTGATTTGCATGTACAGGACAAACAACAAGACACTCACATTGTTCAGTTGGTGGACCCAAGTTTGGATGGAGAAAAGGATGTGAGCAAGTTATTGTGCAATGCAGGTTTTGCTGTAAGTGAAAAGAGCATTGTGGATTATTCAGCTACAAGATCTTGTGGTTTGAAAACCACCCATGCATCTGGCGTATTCTTGACAGGCACTCAACCCCAAACACCTTGCAGTTCTTCTGTTGTAATGGACAGTGCATCTGCTTTCAAGGAGTACTTGTTTCCAATTGGAAGTTCACTGGAAGTAACTGTGTCCTACATTGAGAATCCAAATGACTTCTGGTGTCAAAAGGCCAGAAATGCAGCATGCTTAGAAGTGCTAATGCAGGATATTCAACGTTTCTATTCTCATAGTGAATTTGAACCACTTTTGGAAGCAGCTTGTGTTGCCCGTCATCCTGAAACTGGGATATGGTACAGAGCCTTGGTCATTCAAAAGCATCAAACACCCCATGTTGATGTCTTGTTCATTGACTACGGGCAGACAAAGAAGGTTGCAATTGAAGATCTTCGAAAGATTACTCCTGCATTTTTGAAGATGAAAGGACAAGCCTTTCGATGCAGTTTGTATAACCTCATCCACCCGGTTTTGCACTCATCTTCAGACTGGAGCACAGAAGCCACATTGGAGTTTCAAGAGTTTGTTGATGCTGCAGCATCTATGAATGTCCCTTTGAAATGCACCATATTTGCTGTAATGTATGACTCGCAGAAAGTTGTTTTCAATGTGGTGGATTTGGAGACCCCTTTTCAAAGCATTTGCAATCTCCTTGTTCAGAGACGTCTAGCTGATCGTGCACCCTCTAAAAGATCTCCTCTTCCACCCTTTCGCCTGGACACCTACTATTATTCCACACACGGAGTCAAGACTGGATGTGATGAGAAAGTGAGTATCACCTGTGTAAAGGGTGTCAATCAGTTCTTTTGCCATCTTGCCAGGAATTCGGATGAGGTTGAGAAACTTGCGGAAAAGGTCAACTTTCTGTGCCATCAGCTAGAGGCAACCAAGTGTCCTCAGACTTTTGGAACGGTTTGCTTTGCAAAATACACTGATGGACTTTGGTACAGAGGCCAAATAAAGTCTACAAAACCATCAGTTGTAATCAATTTTGTGGATTACGGTGACACACTGGAAGTTGATAAATCAGACTTGTTACCAGTTCCAATTGAAGCAGGAGATATCATGTCTGTTCCGGTGCAGGCAATTGAATGTGGGCTCTCTGATATGCCTGAAGAACTACCATGCGAAGTGGATAATTGGTTTCGTAAATTTGCGGACAGTCATTGTTTCACTGCTTTGATTGTGGCGAAAGAACCTGCAGGGAAGCTTATTTTGGAACTTTATGATGGAAAAACTCAAGTGAATGCACTGATCAAACAGAAGTTTCACAATGAAATCCATAAAAATGATGCTAGCACATTCAAAATATATGGTTTAAAGAGCAGAGCTGCAGAAAGTGTGGAAGCCTCAGCCTGTAAGAAGGAAAGTTCCACTGGTCCAAAGAGAGATGCCATAGATCAAGTTCCAAAGTCTCGTGAAAGTCATGCAATTCAACGAAGTAATGACGTTGCATCAAAACAGCCACAAAGCAGGTGGGGATTTTCCACAAATGGAAGACCAGAACCAACAAGAGATTCTGGGACAATTAATAATTGCCAGAAACAACCAGAACTACGAACGAGTCAAGGTAATTTAAGGCACCCATGTACCTCTAGCAAACCTGAAGTTGTTAAACCTAAGCCCCAAGCACTTCTGAAAGAATCAGCACTTCCAATCAAATCAATTAAACCGGGACTAGAAGCTGAGGTTTTCATTTCTCATTGCAATAGCCCTTGTAGCTTTTTTGTTCAGTTTGCAACAGATGAGGATGACATTTATTCCCTTGTGGAGAAGTTAAATGCTGACCAGTCAAGATGCAGAAACATTGACTCCAGTGACATTCATGAGGGAGACTTGGTCTGTGCAATGTTTCCTGATGATAGCTCTTGGTACCGTGCAGTAGTACGGAAAAACACTAATGAAAAGATTGATGTTGAATTTGTCGACTTTGGAAACACAGCGGTGATTTCTTCAAAAAATGTTTGCCATCTTGGTCAATCATTTGCGTCATTTCCTAGGTACAGCATCCATTGCTCTGTACATAAACTGAATGTTGACAGCAAAGACCAAGAACTTGCTCCCAACTTCAAACAAGTACTTGAGCAAAATATTGAAAAGGTCATCTGCACCTTTGTGAAAATGTCAGGAACCATGTGGGAGGTGAGACTTGATGTTAATGGTGTAGTGCTGGGATCCGTCTGCAAGGATCATGTTAAACCAGAGATTGCAATCCCAGATTTAAAGGATGCAGCATCTGAAATCAAGGTCTGTACCTATTACAAGAACCCTGACATCTCAATTGGTCAAGTGATCACCGGATACACCTCGTACATCAAGGGCCCTCAGCTGTTCTGGTGTCAGTATGTGGCCATGGACAAACTTCAAGAGATTTCTGATATGTTACAGAATATAGGTAATGCATCTGAAACAACTTTAAGGGAGGACTGTATGCCAGTTGGAAGTGCTTGCATTGCTCTTTTCACGGAAGACAATTTGTGGTATCGAGCTAAAGTAACATCTAAGGACCTCGACACACTCTCCATTACCTTTGTAGATTATGGAAATGAATCAAAAGTCAAAATAGGTGATGTCAAAGCACTTCCACCCAAGCTATCAGATGTGCCCCCTCATGCATTTGACTGCCAGCTTGAAGGTTTTGATGTATCTGAGGGTTTCTGGGATGAAACAGCTGATGATGCATTTTATGAGCTAGTTCATGACAAGCCTTTAAATATCACCATTGAGAAAATGGGGAACTCTGAAATGCCACACATCGTCAAGCTGGATTGCGATGGGGTTGACATCAACACTACAATGAAAAGCCATTGGAAAACTCGGAATCCTGAAACCCCTCCAGCTGAACTCTTTAATGGAGCAGAGATGGCGTCTGATGATGATTATGTGGCATCCAAAGTTAATATTGACTCAGTAGTTACCTTTGACACAGACACTGACCCTGCAGACAATGAAACCTGCACCTCAGCTCTTGAAATGGAACTTTCTGAGCAAGAAAATTTATTGTCAAGCACAGGAGTTGAAAATGAAGCACAGATTGACCCACTCAAGATGGCTACTGAAAATGTCACCTTACCTATTACAGAGAGTACAGTGCTCTCTGAAACGCACAAGAAGCTGGAAACCATCACAGAAGATGAACCTGTTTTAGGTTTTACAGGTCTGTCAGACACAAACCAGCATGCCGTTTCTAAAGAGACAGATGTAGGTTTGCCTCAGCACTCAGAGGGAGCTTCTTCAGTGACTATAGATAGCTTCTTGATGAATAACACAGACTCTCAATTATGCATTGTTGAGGAACCAGAGGCACCATCATACGAGATCATTCAATCAAGTAAGACTGAGCTTGATGCATTTTATGCTGTATATTTTCAGTGTTCATTGTTCATATTGTATGCAATGGCCTCATTCTTGTTTTATCATTTTTATTTTTAAAAACAGACTTGGGTTGTTTAAGACGAGCAACTGAAAAGAAGCCTGTTGGTTCAGAATGTGTCATTTGGTCCCAAGTAAGAAGAAGTTGGTGCACAGCACGAGTTTTAAAAGTTTCTGAAGAAGCTACATTGGTGTGTATATCTTTAATTTCACAATCACATTTCCCTTGGTGTTTTTATCGTGAACAAACCTGATTTTGTCTTGTCTTCAAATTCATTTTCTGCTTTCTATATTTTTCAGGTTTTGCTTGAGAAATATGATTCTGAGGTTGTAGTAGATCCAATCAACATCTTTGAAATTATGCCAGAGAAGCCACTGCAGGTGATTTTTGTGTGAATATTTAAAACAAACATGCATAACAACATATTATGACATTTGACATCGTTTACTAATCTACTGTTTTATTGCAGATTGCATGCATTGAAGCTGCAATTGCAAATGGTATGTATTAGATTCTTTGTAAAAGGTGATACTTTCCTGCTCTTTGTTTTTTTTTTTTTTTTTTTTCCCCAACAATAATGCCAAATAACTAATAAGATCCAACCAGTTGAGGATTACTAGTGGAGAAAGGTTCACTGCGTTCTCAGTCTTTTCAGTGCACAATGCTGTTTTAGTTTTTAAAATGGATTCAAATAAGAGCTTAATTTTAAGAGGTGGTTTAGAATATTCATATTTGTATCTTTCGTTTTATCTTACTCCAATCATAAATCATTAAGAATGTTGTTTCAATATCTAATTTAGATAGTTTGAACCTTTTGTTTGTTTTTATTCTTAATTATTAAATTTATTTATGTAAAGATATTATGTTGTTCACACTTACACACCGGTTAATCTTAATTGTTAGACAGAAGTAAAATTGAACTATTTATGTTGCAGCTTGTACAGGTGTGTATTTACATGTCTAAAACATAAATTAAGCATTAGGCAGTTAAAACGCTGCATAATTTTGATAATATGACATGTTTTTCTCAGCGGGGTTAAGTTCCGTTTGTTTTCGAAAAAAGAAGAAGAAAATAAGCACTTTTCTGATGGTCCCTTACTTAGAGCTCTGCTCAGCGTGAGCTCTCTTTGGCTCGGCGCCAGACACTGCGCCAAAGCTCAGTTTGATTTTCTCAGTTGCCACTCTAAAGGTAAAGAGCTAGCACTAACATGCTTTTTAAGCTGGAAAACGAGTAAAATATCAGCACCAGGGACTTTACGGTCTTAACTTCAAAACGGAACAAAGTAGGATCCTGCTGTTGAACTCCCTTTTCATCCCTGTCTATGAGGCACCGAACTCTGTATTAGTGTGCGAGAGACCATGTTCAATCTGCTCCACGCTAAACTAAAAGTGTTTTTTAATAATCAAATGTCTCCGTGTTGCGAATCGATTAAGAAATTCATTGCCAACGCTTTTAGTAATTGATTTTTATTGATTTAATCCATTCGTTGTTGCAGCCCTATAGTTTCCCCATGTACACTTAATTAGAATGCCAAGTACAGTTAAACAAGGGTCAAGTACCCTATCTAAGTTCATCGTGCAACACATTGTTGTCCTAAACTAAAAGAAGACTTTTCCAAATAGTTTTTAGCCAGATCTCTAAAAGATGCAATTAGTGTGCCCAATTCTCTACCTTAACTGGATTTGAGTCCATTGCTACCTGACGCACAGTATGTGGTAACAAAGAGACTACAAAATCTATTAGAATAAACAGGAATAAAGTTATCAAAAATGTTCAAACGTTACAATTTATTAATCAGGTAAATGTGTATTATGTCAATTATTCTGTCAATTCATAATCAATACAGGTCTCAAAGATAAACCTAAGATCAAAAGATGCACGAAAGCTTCACACCATGGGCTGATCTGGTTATAGAATTGCACCTTGATCATATACCTCTGTTTCTACTCGATGATTGTATTGCTTTTATTTTCCCTTGTAGGGTTGTAACAATATACCGGTATGACGGTTTACAACGATTTGAACGTGCACGATTATCATACCATGAACAATTGCATATCAACGGTTTTAACCCTTAAAGACCGAGACAGCCGCCCGCGGCTAAAAATAAGTATTGCTCTTAAATGTTTAATAACTTTTGATCCGCTGATCCGATTCATACAATTCAAAGATTGGCATAAAGAAGAGAATCTCAGCTTTCCAGTGCTGTATACATATAACATTCGCGGACTTTCAGAGGCTCCGGAATCAGTGCGGTTACGTCATCAACATTTGACAACGCTGATTTGACAAAGAAACGCTCGTCACTGTGTCTCCGGACAAATCAGACATGATACATTGATGGATTGTCCCTCCTCCATGCCCAGATTGGTTCAAACTCGCTATATCACAACCAATAAGCATAGGTTTCGCTTTTGTTTGTGGACCAAGCTTTTTGAACAACACGGAATGAGAGATTTTTCTAACGTTTTTTCTAAAAAAAATGTTTTGCATGAAATAATTCTCATACTAAGTACTTTTGCATGCACAGCAGCACAGAAACATGACAAAACAGTGACACAGCAAAGACGAACTGCTGCTCTTGCTGTTTTCAAAAGACGCAAATGAAGGTGCAGCTGTTTGTCTGCATTGCAGACAACCATATCCAAATCCATATCGATAGACAACCATATCCATGCTGGCACATAAAACCTAAGGATGTTCCATATTGAATCTAGTTTCGTTATGTAACTATTTATGGTATAGTAAATATTTATATCTATTTTTTACTGAGGATTTGCACCATGTTTATTTGGACTTTATTTGGACTTTGACACATTATTTATTATTTTCTTATTTTTATTTGTTCATTGTAAGTGGTGTTGTTTATAGTAACTAAAAATATATTATTTGGAAAAAGTCAAATTTGCTTCACTGTTCTATTATTTTGTAACATTTGTAACATACCGTATACCGCGAAACCGTCAAACCGTGGTATTGTTTTAGACGATTATCATACCGTGAAAAATTCATACCGTTACAACCCTATTCCCTTGAAATGGTAATAAATCAATATATTAAATATTTTGCAGATGATGCAACGAAAGAAACAGATGCCACACTAGAGAACAGTGCTTCAAAGGTAATAGTTTTATTGTGTCAAGTAGTGTGTTTTCAGCTGTTAAATCACATGTATTCACAACCATTTATACGTCTAGTTATATCAGACAGAAGTTTCAGATGCAAATGGAATTGCTGTTGCTTTAGAGTCTGAAGACCTAAATGGTAAGTCTTTATATATATATATATTTTATAATACAAAATTGTTACTTGGTGCTGGTTCATATGGTTGTGTCTATATCATGTTTTATTCAAAATTACTTTTGCCAAGGTAAGGAAGAAACATTCATTGACCAAATGGCTCCGAATGATGAACTTGCAGGCCAGGTAAAGTGGTGACTGTATTTGTTATTAATTGTCGAAATACAACAGAGTAATGATATAGCGTATAGTGTCTCAATGTGTTCATTTGAATAATTGCAGCCTCAAGAAGAAGAATCTGTTTCCTGCTCTGCTTTTCTTGAAGATTCTAAGGGTAAGTGAACCTGCTTGATTTTAATTACGTACTAAACCTAGTTCTAATGAAGGTGTCTTGTTGATAATGAAGCAGTGTTGGCAAAAATTTAGGGCTGCAACAACGAATCGATTACATTTCGATTAATTGAGGTAATGTTAAGGGAAAGATACATGGTGAAGGCAGAGAATAGGGCTGCATGATTAATCGAAAAAAAGAATCCAATCTCGATTTAACCCTACACACGATCTTAATTCAGCTTTTCCATGATTCAGCCAATTATATTTTCAAGGTCAGGAGAAGCTCAAAGGTGGTCGCACAAGTCTTCACAGCAACATGGACACTTACAAATGTCCCATAAAAGTGCCGCATACTGTATTTAAACATTTTAATTCATCCAGATTTGTCATTTCTGTCTAAATGTAATGATATATTCGCGAACGCGAAATCACACTTGAGCTGACCGCGAACTGTTTGTTTACCACTGAGAACGCGTGCATGCATGCCAATGCCTATTTTATCGAACAGAACTTGCATAGGTTGTGAATAAGAAAGAAAATAATTAAATAATGTTCAGTTTGTTGCACAGAGCGATCGTTTGAGAGCTGCATTGAAAGGATGATTTGCATGTTTTTTTTTTGTTTTTTTCCGAGTTGCAGCAGTTACTCGTTAGTAAAGCCAGCGAGCACATTATTTAAATGACCATATAGCATTTTAGTTATGATTACGACAAGCATTTGATGTTTTTTTTTTCCTTTATAGCGAACACAGTGTTGTGCATGATAATAAATGTTTGCTGTTTCAGTATAACTACCCTAGCCTATATAATGTTGAATATAATGCAAGAAGGAATCTGATAAGGACAAATGTCTCATTTTACCAGTAAAAACAAAGTCTAATAATGTTGTCAATGACAGATTGCAAGCGTGTGTCTCAAACATAATAGGTCAACTTTATAATTATGAATAGTTGTATTCTGATGTCCTCATTTTACTGTAAATAAAAAAACAGAACAAAGTCTGTTCAAATCCACCATAATGACTTTACAAAATTTAGCATTTTACGCAACAATAGACCTACACATAAGCCTATTATTATTATTATTGTTGTTGTTGTTTGAGAATTAACAATAATAATAATAGCCTTAATGTCTATAACTTAATGTCCCTGGTGCTGGTGTTTACTTGTTATCCAGCTTGACAACCATTATGTGAAAAATTCAAACTGAGCTTTGTCACATGGGCTGAGTCATATCACAGTTATGCATTTTTTAACCACTCAATACTTATTTTATGTGTTAGACATGTAAATGCACAAGTGCTAGTTAAGCAATACATTTAAAGTTTGTCACACAAAGTCAATGGAAGTCTAACAATCCATTCAGATATAATTTGCTGATGTAAAATTTGCCATTCATATCAGATACGCGTAGTAAAAGTAACAAAGTTCTATCTGTTCTTCTCCCAGTTGGCCAGATACTTGCTTGCATGCATTTTGGGAGTAACTAATGAATCTACATACTGAATCCTGCATTTTCTGCTTTTATGAATGAGACGTGCACGTGGCCGCAAGTAAACATGGCAATAGCCAACTCGTGTTATAGATTACGATCAAGATAATTTATGTCTTTTAAACAACAAAAAACTCATATATTTTGTATTAAAACGAGAAGGCATAATAAAAGAGATATATTTGTCATACAGAGCTATTGTGGCTGCAGTGTGTCGCGTGACAAACATGATGTGTCACCACGGAAACATTAAGGGTGAGCGTTCTGAAATGATGATCGCCTAACAAAACTCACTCCCGGGGCCAGATAGAATCTTTTAAACTCACCTGTGAAAGGGTTAATAACAGTAGTAAAGTAACTCTACCACCGCTGCAAGACTAATACACATTTTTTTTTTTCACTCGCCCTTTTTGGATTTATTATCATATATAGCTACTCTGCAAAAAAGCTTTTCTTACGAAGTCATTTAATCTCGTTTCCTGTCCAAATATCTAAAAAAATCTTAAATCAAGACTAGACAAGAAAAGTGGCATGAGAAAATTAAGTGATGCTTCTGTGTTAGGTTATATCTCATTAAGATTATTTTTCTTACCCTATTGGTAAATAATTTAGCTTGTTTTAAGCAAACAATCACTTAAATTTGAGGTGTTTTTTTTTTCCGAACACAAGACAATTTCTTTTGCTGTTTCATGTGTCTAATATCAAGGTTTCCGCTGGGTCTTAAAAAGTCTAAAATTTAAAAATCGAAATTTAAGGCCTTAAAAAGTCTTAAATTCGCTGTTCTAGGTCTTAAATCAGCTTTGTGTTATTGAATTCCGTGCGTGTGGCGAATGTGACGTCATCGCTGTGTTTCGCTTTGGGTGCGCGCAACATGATTTCGGCTGGCAGAGCTCATGGAATTTTTTGAGACTCTGGCAAACAGTTCGCATGCTGTTGCATTTGATTTGAGTTGAGTAAAAAACACTTTGAAGAGATTTTGTCTGAAACTGGTACGTCTGACAGACATCTTTATGATCGGTTCATGTGTAATCATAGGGAGAACCAGATGACCAATAATTCTTGGCTAGAAATTGCAACAGCAGTGGAAAAGGAGGAATGTTTTTGTGAAAGTTTGGAAAAACCTGAGGGATAAGTTTGTTAAAACAACAAAAAAGGCCATGCAAAAGGGAAGACCCAGGTGGTTTTAATATTACAGAAAATGTTTTTCCAGCATTCATATATTTCACACTGATGTATATATTACAATTTTGAATTTTAAAACAATTTAGTTACAAACTAAAATTAAGTAACAAATTATTTCTTTGAAACAGTTGAAGTCAGAATTAGTAGCCACACTTTGAAATTTTATTTCTTAAATATTTCCTAAATAAAGTTTAACAGAGCAAGGAAATTTTTGCAGTATGTCTGATAATATTTTTTTCTTCTGGAGAAAGACTTATTTGTTTTATTTTCGGCTAGAATAAAAGCAGTTTGCAAAATATCTTGTAAAATATTATTTACTGTCATCATGGCAAATATAAAATTAATCAGTTATTAGAAATTAGTTATTAAAACTTATGATTAGAAATGTGTTGAAAAAATATTCTGTCAGTTAAACAGAAATTGGGGGGAAAAAATTAACGGGGGCTAATAATTCAGATTTCAGCTGTAACTGGAATAGAATATATGAACAGTAACTGATGTGATCAGTTTATAATATATTGATGCCCAATTTTCAGGCTTTATTGTTGATAATGATATGAAATGTTGGACCATTATTGCCTTTTTAGCTTATAAGTAGAGAAAAGAAACTAGCCAGACAGTAATTTGTGAATTGTGGAGTGGGCAAAATAAAATAAAGTCTGTATTTTTAGTATGTGTACTTTTTGTTTGTTTGTTTGTTTTTATTCTTGCCATGATGAAAAAAAAAATACAATTGTAGAGCAGCCCGTGTTCTGTTGTCATTAATATTTGACTTTAATAGGTATAACTGTCTGAGATATGAACAAAACAAGTGATGCATCATTTAGATTAAAAACAATTTAGATTAAAAAAAAATCTTGAATGGTTATAAAAATATTTATAATAAATATTAAAAATAATAAACAATTAGTTTAAAAATCTTCAATGATATTAATGATATGAAGTAGTTCTGAAAATTTTCTACTTCTCTGTTTATTTGTCTGATTTTTACTGTTTCTTTTGACCACCCCGTCATTTAAAAGAATATCTCAATGGCGAACCGTCAAGTATAAAAGCCTCGTCCGTTTCGTGAGGTGCACGATGTGGTGCCAGGTGAAAGTATAAATCAACATTAAGATGTTTGTTTGTTTTTTCTGTAGTTCAATGGTGTATCTTACCTGTCTTTAGTACTGTTCAATTTTAATACATTTATTTTACCACAAATTTTGTGATTTTTGCTTTTTCTCTTTGTGTATGCGTGTTTTGATATTGTGATATAGGTCTTAAATTTAATACTTAATTGTCTTAAAAAGTCTTAAATTTGACATTATGATATCTGCATAAACCCTGAATATGTATCTTGATTTATTTAAAAAACTTATTTTTTTTATTATTATTATAACTGCTCAGGAATGTTCAAGGACAATATTTGTGCCCTTTCTAAGATTATAGTTCTATTTTTGAATAAAGGGTTGTAAATGAATGCTTTTCTTTTTTGTTCTTTTTTCATTCATTGATTAATCTAAAAAATAATTGACAAATTAATCATTATTAAAATAATTATTAGTTGCAGCCCCTGAAAATTACTTTTACATTTTATTTATAGTATTTTAAAATAATTTAAGTGTTAAATTTGCTACTGGTACTTTTTAAGGAAAGAAATATGACATTTTTATTCATTTATTTTAAGATTAGGATAAAGTTAATTTCGTTAAAAGTAACTTTACCCTGTGAAGAAGTGCTTACAACACCATATATATTTTGCAAATGTTTCAAGATTCGAATAGTTTCTTTTTGCATAAAAAAAAACAATGCAGATGTAGTGTGAATACTTTGATATGTTGGCTTTGCTAAAAGATATACACTTTTGCAAAAAAGTGTATTTTTAACTTCTTATTTTACCCTCATTTTCACTAGGCTCAAAGTCAGGACCTTCCTTAAAACAGCAATGCATTAGCAACAAGTCATACATTCTTTAATAGAAGTTTTCTTTTTTTAGCTAGGCATTTTTACTTGTACTGATATACAAAGAAATTAGCATTGCATGTGAGGTTTACTTTTTTCCTTAGTGTGACACCTAATAAGAAATAATGCATCTAAATTAATTTAGTTTCTGATTATTGACTTGTCCAAGAATGTAATAATCCAAAAAATTAGATTAACCTCTATTGTATTGAAAATAATTTTCCATAGGAAGCTGAAGAGTATTGTTTCAACAGTCAGATACAAAAAAAAGAAATCTGTGTTGACCTGCTTTGATTATCTTGGGTCTGAATGCAAATGACAAGGCTTTGTTTTTGGCTGTTTAGCTAAACATATGCTGGTGGAAGGTGCACAAGTACATGATCTTGTTCAAGGATTATGTGTAAGTAGTCTTGTGTTATTATTGTTATTATTATTAGTCATGCTGTCTTTTATTAAGATTTTACTATGTATTTTTACATCAGCCTGATGACGTCGAAAGCAAGGATCCCCAAGATGACTTGAATACTTCATTCGAAGAGCAAAACGGTTACCATTCAATCTTAAAGGGGTGGTCCAGAGTCATTTTTTTAAAGCTTGTCCTCAATGGGCTCTGATTGGTCCGCTAACCTATTGTATTGTGATTTGTCAATTGGTTCCACATCACCAGGAAATGTTATGTTTCTAACTAGCAATTCAGTTCGGTCATACCTGGGCTGGTAAAATAAAATTTGACATCTTACACATGCTTATAACCTGAATACATATGCAAGTAATACAAAACTTCCACATATATTTGTGAACTCAAGTTAATTATTTCAAGTGGAAAACTGCTGCATAGAGAGCAATATCTTTTTTTTTTATAATTCTCTGGAACATTATTAAAAATAAATTGTTAGCACTACTCTTTGTATCATGCTCTTTGGAAGCCAAATACAGAAACAGAACAAGCTACATGAAAATAGCAAAGCTTGGACAGCATTTTACCTTTCATTACTACTAATGTTACAAAGCCTTTGTGACCACACTCTTTTGCTGCATGTTTCATGGCATGTAAACCAAAGGATTTACGACAATATTGACCCAGATGTAATTTTTGTAGCCCCCAAACTTTGTTTGCAGTAGACTTTGCTAAGCTAACTCTATAAAAGCCTATGTCTCTCTTTGCATTAAACTTTGAGTGTCTTACATTTTAAAGTTTTTGGTTATGTTCACACTGCTATATTACACAAAAACGAACATTTAAAATATGATTTTATAGTGGACCGCCCCTTTAAATAGTTTCAACATCTTACTGCCATTTCATTTGAATTTTCAATGTGTATTCATAGTCATTTTATTGTTAAAAGATGGTGCAAAGATGAGTACTGCAGTGGATTTACTGCTGGATTTCCTTGACACAGCTCCCCGTGATAAGGTGCGTTATCTTTTTTTTCTTATTTCTCTCCTGAAAGATTTGCACCACCCAGAGGCTAAGAGTGTTTGTCCTCATGCCATGTTTTACAGGTACAGGATGTGAGTGAAACTGATGCCTTGCTTGAGGAGTTTAATAGTATGTTGGTAACATTCCATATTTAATTATAAGTTGTTTAACAAATGTGACCCTGGGCCACAAAAACTTAAGTCTTAAGGTTACATTTTTGAAAGATTATACATGAAGCTGAATAAATAAGCTTTTTTTCCATTGATACATGGTTTTTATGAACAGACGATATTTGGCCAAAACACAACTATTCAAAATGGATCCACATTTATATTTATTACATTTATTATACCTATGCATATTACTTATGAAAAATTAGATTTTGATATACCTAAAGTAAATTTACAAGATGTCTTCATGGAACATGATCTTTAACTGATATTTGAATAGTATTTAGCATATAAGAAAAATAGACGATTCTCACTGATGTAACAACTGCCTGCTATTCATACAACTGTATCTGTGCAACTTAAGATTTTTATAATCCAGGGTCACAAATATAAAATGAATGTACAGAACTCAAATTAATGATCTTTCTTTCACCTTTTAAGTCCATGTCACTGAAGACCTTATTGTTCTGACCAGTGATGATGGAGCAGAGTCTGACACTGCATCTGATGGCACGGTATTGTTTAATATAAACTCATGAACTACTAACATTTGAGAAGTTTCATACATGCATAAACACACACACACACACATATATATATATATATATATATATATATATATATATATATATATATATATATATATATATATATATATATATATAAAGAATTATATTTGTGTGAATATGTATGTATTTGTTTATTTTCTTACTTTGATTGAATATTTCAGCTTCATGGAGATGCAGTGGCCATGGAAGTCGGTCCTGATACTGAAGAATCTTCATGTAAGTGTACATTTAAACCTTACTGTTGTCCTTACAAATGACTCCTTTGTGGTCACTTTTGAAATGGTTGTTTACAGGCTTTCAGGAAAGGTCAAATGCTTCTGATTGCACCAGCGCAGAAGACTCACAAGTCACTCATTTGACCCTTAAAGTTGAGGATGCATCTGACGATGTCATTTTTGTTGGTGTTTTGCAAGAATCCCAGGCAGTGGTTCATGAGCCCGAGAGTGAAAAAGAAAAGCGTGATTAGTCTAAACAATTGTATACTTTTGGGTAGGGGAAATATACCCTACGACTAACATTTTGTTAAGTGTTGTTGTTTTTTTACATTTAAATTTAAATAGCCAAAAACTTGTTGATGTGTTAAGTAATTCCTGTCAACTCAATTTAAATCATAAATCATATAATAGCAACAAAAGCACTTCTGCTTTTTTTCAAATTTGAGTTTTGCTTTCTACAGTTTAGTTGTTTCTCTGTAAGGATTAAGGCTGCTTTGTTTTTTGTTTACTACACAGCCTTTAATTGTATACATTATTATATAAAAAACTCTCAAGTTAGATGTTAGCCTGGGATTTTGTAGTTTGTTTAGAAAGTTCTTAAATGTTTACATTTGTGGTGAAAAGGTAGTCTGCTGCATCTTGTGGTAACTGGTTGAAATTTTCTTTAATAAATAGGCACTCTTTGTGTGTCGCACTTATATCAACCGTTCTTAAAAATATGTTGTTATTCAGACTTTGTAAGAGACAAAAACAAACCAAAGGTAAGACGTTTAATAAACAATATCTCAAATACATAAACATAACTTGTGCTTTTTTGTGTAGTTGTACTGGAAACCAAAATACCCAAATTTCATTAGATTAAAAAATAATATATTTATTAACGAGCAGTTTAGTAGTGTAGAAACTGATTTCACTGGAAATCACAAATCATAATTACAGATCTTAGACTCCACCACAAGCCCCTCCACTATGTTAAGATCATTACCATGATTGGTCAACACAGGATATGAAGAATACAGTTGATAGAATTAAAACTGGAACTAATTGTCTGCTATCTGCCTTCCATTAACATTGGTCACAGAATTAAAAACATTGCATTGATATCGAAAACCTCTAAAGGACTATAAAAATATTAAGGCTTAGGACAAAGGACGGTGATGTGTTGTAAAAAATGTAAATCTATTGCACTGTGTCTGTTTTGGGAAGCAGGTGGATGGTAGCTTATGAAACCTCTCATATGTCATCCTGTAGAGACTATTTTTACATATCATTTTAACCCATCATTCTCATACACTGCAGTCAATATTTAGCCTCCTTGATGAAATTTCAAAACTTTCTTGCAAATCGATAAATTGGCCCTTTCTTGAACATGAAAGCATTTTCCCCGTTACATGTGCATTCACAACATTATAAAAATCACTGCACTTATTATTTTATGTTACATGATTAAATAGATGAATGTGGTATAGTAATATTGGTTCCTGGAATCAAGTTGTCATCTTTTCCTTCAATTAAAGGATCCCACTGATTGAAGTCTCTGTTTAGAGCTTGAAAATAAAGAAAAAGAAAATGTTTATTACATTAAACAAACTCTACCGTTCAGAAATTTAAGGTTGATAATAGCTTCTTTACAATCCTATAATTGAACATTAATGCTGGTAAACAGGGCTCCCACAGGTCATGGAATTTTAAAAGGTCTGTTCCAGACATTTTTTTATTTGTCACTTTAAATTTTACTTTCCTTTTATCAAAATGTAAATTTTTAAAATAATTTTTACTGTTATGGTTATGATATTTTCCAGCTTTATATTTTTCTTTTCATGCTGACAGGCCAGGATAAGTGACCCTCCAGGACTGACTTTGGACACCCCTGCCCAAGACTAGACACATTCAAAATAAAAGTTTATAAATTGTGTTTACCATGTATATATAAATGCATCCATGCAAGTATATATTTGAGCAATATAATACAGATTTTATATAAAGATTTAATACATGTTTGTTTGTACTGTATATACTTGGGGGTGTCCAAACTCCATCCTGGAGGGCCAGTGTCCTGGAGAGTTTAGCTCCAACTTGCTTCCACAACACCTGCCATGAAGTTTCTAGTATATCTAAAGCTGTGGTTACACTGGGCTTTTCTCCCCTTAGACTTCCGTTCATTTGCACGTTAAGTTTCGCAGGTCGCTGTGGTGCAAAGTTCAAGCTTGGTGAACTCTGACCTGCGAAATCGCATCACTTGACTGCGTGAGACCAACTGAGGATTAAAACATGACCTCTCTGGACAGAAATGTATAACATGGAGCAATAGCTCGCTTTTTTTAATGCCTAATAATCTTGTTTATTCATGCCCCTTTTCACAGCGTCGCATGACAGAATTTTTCATTATCAAACTCTAGTGTGACCGCAGCTTAATAAAAGCTTGATTAGCTGGTTCAGGTGTGTTTGATTAGGATTGGAAATAAACTCTCCAGGACAGTGTGGACACCCTGGTATATAGTTCAGCATTAATTACAATATATTGTTTTTGCATTGATATCGCAATGTGCAATTCCGCAGAGGTTACATCGCAAAGATATGTAAGGTTAAGAATAAGAGTTGACCAGAAGCCACAGAATTATATTTAATCACTGTATTTATATGATTTATGCAAAACAAAAAAGTCTTAGAATTTTTGTCTTGTTTCTAGTCCAAACATCTACATTTCAAAGCAAAGAATCTCACGTAACCCATTTTGCTTATTTTTCTGACTGTAAAAAATACTTTTTTACTTGCTTTAAGAAATTTTGATAATTGGACTAGAAACTAGGAAAATTAAATACTTTTTTTTTCATTGTGATAAATTTTTGTACCTGAATACTGTTAGAAAACCATCAAATAGTGCTATTTAAAATATTTTGTGAAACTATTCATATCACAATATTTATTGCCGAAAAATAAAATATCGCAATATTTTCCAATATTGTGCAGCCCTAGTATTAACTAATGTATTATTCAAATCAAAATTTGCACTTGTTAATGACCAGTAAGCTAACATGAACTAACATTATTTAACATTAAATTACATAAACAAAGATTAATAAATACATTACTAATACTTTTATACACTAATACATTAACTAACAAACAAGGATTTAAATGGTAGTGGGATTGCATAGGTAGAGAAATTGCTGAGCATATTTATACAAAATAATACTGAACTCACACAAGTGCCTCTGAAGAAAAGCCAAAGTTGCTTTGTTACAAAGATCCAAGGCAATGTGTGGATCAATCTCTCCTTTCAGCTTCATGAGCCGTCCAATCCAGTTTCCCGTAAGAAATGTGAAGTCTGGAAAGCTCTGATGGACTGTGCCTCTGCCAGAAAAAAACAAAAAGTGTCAAGCAAAACTAAATGAACAGCATTTTTAAATGATAATAATAGGAACTGACTTGATGGTAATCATTTTTCTGGGAAAGATAGCAGAGTCCAACTTCTTCATGCGAATGATATTGCCAATCCACTGAAATTTTTCAGAGTTAATAAAAAAGATTGGCTGCTTCACTCCAGGGAAGATCTCCTCATCCAAGGGAAACATCCAGGTGTCCAGTGCCACACCACACCTAAAAAGCAACATTGATGAGAGGAAATTTATAAGGTTTTGCAATTAATCTTTGTAAGCTTTAAAAATGGACAAAAAATTCCTGGACTCATTTGAAATCTGAATTTAACACTGATGTTTTCATTAATGTTTCAAGTCGTCTATTACAGTGCATGTCAAATTTTTCTGCGGTCTATACAAATGCGGCAAAAAACAAAACAGGAAACGATCAAAGTGTGAGGGACAAAACAGAAGCAAACCACAAAGACTGAAAGCAGAGATGCTCAAACAAACAGCCTGATAAATACGGCAATTATCTACCCACAAAATCTTGTATGTGATACAAGATCTTGTGGGTAGATAATTCCCATATTTAGCATTAACAGCCTGTCATGTAAATGTACTGTAAGTGCTAGTCAGCTCAACACGTACTTGAATCGGACTTCCTTGCACAAACATTCAATCACTGTCGCGCCTCCGAAAGAATGTCCCATAACCGCTATTCTACACAAATCCATGGAATTCTAAAATGGAAAAAAGCTCATTATCACTTCTTCACAACACTACAACAAAATATTGCAGTATATGATAAAACAGTAGTTTATTTTGTAATATTCACCTCCATTGTTGACAGATCAAAGTTGGACTGCAAGACGTTTTCCACAGACTTTCCTGAATGGATGTCAAAGAGAATATCCAAAGCTCTGATGCATTCATCTGCTCTCTGCTTTACCTGAAACAAAGAAAATCCAATTTATTTGCACAGAATAACACAGCTTATTTAATGGTGCTTCTTGAAGTTATTCAAAAAATAAAAACAATGCATAGTTCATTTTACTAAACAGCATAAAAATGGGCTTCAAAAAGTAAATATCTGAAAACACTTTTAAGATTTTATGAAACTAGTGATGTCATGCACAGACTACAGGATCATATGAGTGCTGGCTCATAGTGTTTTAAGTAGCATCAACTTTCAAACTGTTTCTGTCAGCTACTGCCATGTATATGTGTGTGAACGAGGATTGGTTGTACCACAAACCATTACATAATGCTTTTTAGTACATCATTGTTGTGTACAGATAGCCTCATAATAAATACATAAATGCATTGTGATTATTCATAGGCATTTCATGCAAAACTACTGAAAGCATCAATATGTAGGATTATAATCCTTTTTCAATTTTTATTATTATTTTTTTTCATAGAATTCTTTTCCAACAGATCTACATTCTATTACCTCACACACATGAAGGTAGCCAGATCTACGACAATAACTGGAATGAATGGGCCTTGTGATTAACGATTAGCTCATTAAGCTGATCAGCTAATGTTTAGTTTGTCACATTTGTATTGCATGCATATTGAAAAACACCTCAAGAATTTGCCTCTCGTGTATTAGGCTGCTACTTGACTGCATACACCAAGGGAGCCTTTGGGCCTGAAATGAAACATGCTATTTTAAACCAAGGCAACCCAGGGTGCTGAAGTATAATTGGGTAAACTGGCAGTGTGTGAAGTTATACAGACCAAAACAAAGACTTTCCGACACACAACCCACATTTTCAAAGAAGAATAACTGAATTGAGTGTTGTTTTTCAGATGATCAAGCATGCTCACTTAGCATGTTTCTTAAATAACTATGAACATAATATGATTTCTGTACTTTAGAAATTCAAAAATGTACACACAACACCTTTTCGTGCTTCACTCATTACTCAATTAACTGCATTTGGTTATTTAAGATTTGACATGATCAAGGATTGTTTTGTTCTTTAAAACACTTCCGATAGTAATGAAAATATATACCAAATGATGATATTTTCTTACGGTAGTAACCTATCGTTTATATATGTAGTAACCTACAGGTTTTAGATATAAACGTTTGGATTTTTTTTAGAGTACCGACCCTGCTTTAGTACAATTTGTGTATGAAAATAGACATGCCCAATATTGTCATTCTTTTTTTTTTTAAGGAATAATAATTTATGCAGTCATTCACTCGTTTTGACAGCAGATGTGCAGGTTATTTGATGCTTCACAAAAGTTTCAGACATCTTTACCAATTTCAAAATGCTTTTTTTTATGCAAAAATACTTTAAGTATCCTTAAGCTGATTAAGAAACTTAAATAGGCCTACTATAATAAAAAAATCCACTCCAAATAGAATACAAAATAAATTGCTAAATAAAATTTGTAAAGCATGCAGCCTACACATGTGGA